CCCAATAGCATTATTCTAGATTATTTCGTATGATCAAATTATATCGTCGATTGTAAAAGGAAAAGCCTTCAAATAAGTCCCTTAACTTTTTCATTTTTGTTAGTTGAACCCTTTTAGTATTTTTACTAGCGCAAGGGGATCTACAAATTACAGGTAATAAAATTCCTGCTGGAACAACCTAAGCTGGATGTGAATGCAGTGAATTCCCGGAATCGTAAGGCATTGGATATTCTCCTGAAAGCTCCTAAGCAATCAAACGATCAGGAAATCCTGCAGATGCTGCGGCTTGCAACCATGCCAGAAAGCCAAAACCAGGCATTTTTAGAACAATCCCATATTGAAGAAACCGTAGTTGACGTAGAAACAAAGGTAAATTTGGCCTCAGAAATGGATTCTACCAGAAATTCAGAGGATCAGGTCGGGGAAATGAGAAGAGGAATCTTAGTGATGGCAGTGCTTATTGCCACAGTGACATTTGAAGTAGCTCTGAATCCACCCGGAGAAATTTGGCAAGATGGGAGTTCTTCTGCTTCTGGTTTTAATACGACTAAGATCATGGATAGAAGTATCCCGGGCAAATCGGTTGCCGACGACAGGGTTCCAAGCAGCCTGACATGTTTTCTAGTATGGGACTCAATTGGGTTTCTGGCGTCCATGAGCATTATTGTGGCATTGACAACTCCCTGTAAGCTAGAGGGAAGTTTGATTAGGTGGGTGTACGTCCGCTTGATGATGTGGGTGGTGATTGTCTCCGTTCACATGGTGTTCCTCTACGGTGTTCAGATGACTACACCGACCAAGATTTTCCGGCGAGCAGTGATAGCGCCTTTTGCATTTTTCTATGGAGTTGTAGGGTTGCTAGCATTGCGGACCGGATTTTCTATGGTCGATCGGTGGGGATACATGATTAATGTGTTCCGCAAGAAGAAGAACACTTAAGCTGCAAAAAGACTACATTTATTGGTAAGAGTTGAATTATTATCTAGTAATCCTGAAATTTACCCCAAAAAATCTAGGAAGAAACAAATCTTAATTTTAGGATTAATGTTAATTTTTTTTTATTGGCAAAGATAAATTTATTTATTAAAACGGAGTAAAAGGGGTTACTCCAAACTTGTTTACAAAATTAAGGTTTTTGAACAATAGAAATTCTCAGCTTGAATATCATCAGTTTCCAGCCATAAGTGTTTTTTAAACCAAAACTAAGTATTCTATTGTTATTCCTGCAATTGTGCCTATCTGATTGCATGCCTTACTAATGAAAATAAAAAATTTCAAGTTTGAGTCGTAAATATATGAGGTGGATAAAGTAATTAATTTTTTTATTGTCTCAAAATAACTATTATTTTAGATTTTTTTTTAAATTAAAGATTTGAGGGCAATAATTGTATTTATTTATAATACCTCTAAAAAAAAGTGAAAGATAAAGAGAAATTTTTTGTAGTTTGATAATTAATTAAAATAAATGAACAATTATAAGGTTAAAGTATGAGAAAAATATTTATTAATAATTAATTTAAAATAAATTTAAAGTAAAAATAATAGTTATTTTAAAATAAAAAATATAAAAAAATTATTTCTTATTATGCAGTTTAAAATAATAAAAAAATTTTCAAGGTTACATTCAAATATTTAAACTTACCTTTTTACTTGGTAGCCAACTTCTTAAAAAAAAAATTTGTACATAATCTACGATTCCTTTGGGATTGATTTTATAGTACTTTTTTTTTTCTCACAATTGTACAACAAGTTTTTTGCATTAATTTTTTTTAAGTTGACTTACATGAAAAATTTTTTAAGTTTTTTTCTTTTTTGGCATTTTGGTAAAATTTTAAAGATCGTTTTTTTTTTTAAATGTTGATGTTAAAATAATAAAAAAAAAGGTTGGGTTGGGTCAAAATTTTGCTTTTGAATAGATAAGGATTTCGTGGCGTCTATTTCACAGGGAAAATAATATAATAGAGGTGATTAGCATAACTAAACCATTATGAATTAAGCAATAGAATGAATCAATGGAAAAGTGCAAAAACAGATTGCATGAGGCCTGCAAAGATGATGTCATGGGTTTTTTTAATGCAAAAACAAGAATCATGACTCAAGCTCTTACATCAAACACAGCCGAACAGGTATCTTCTAGAAAACAACCTTAACAATTTAAGAATGAGATTTTCACATTAGAAAATGAAATTGAGAATAGAAAATTTTGAAATACGTGTTTTTTTTTTTTTTTTTATATACATAGTAAACTTTAATTATTATTTTCTATTATACAACCGTAATAATAAACTTTAATTATTAACATGAAACAGCTTGTATTTTATTGACTTGAAGCAAGATGACAAGTTTTGCAAAAGCGTCTTATGAAATTGAATGGTTCAAACTTAATGCACAAGATGCATAGAATTATTATTAGTTAATTAATTAATGTTAATCTTTTAATTAATCAAGGTTAAGGTTATTAATCACGTACGGGTGAAATGTTGCAGTTCTATTGCTTGTTGAAAATGTACGAAATTTTTAATTAATTGCACAAGTCATGGTGGGATTAATATATGAGCAGTGATTTTTTTTTTTTTTTTATGAACGTATTTTGCAAGGGCAGATTTTAAACGCTGCCGGAAAGGGGGAATGCACCGTGACTATGCCACTAGGCCTCAAGGACCAGTGAGCAGTGATTTAAAGAATGGAAATATGGACTTAATGATAATGATGTGATATAAATTATTTTATTAAATGAATTAATATATATATAATATTATATATTTTAATAAAATAAAAAAATTACTTATTAAATAATATAATGTTTATTATTTAATATTTTAGGTAAAATAACTTATATTATATTATTGATTATAAATTTTAGTCACATATAATGTATTTATTGTATCATTATTCTTGGAAAATTAAGTGGATGAGATTTGTATGTATGTTGGTAGTTGTATCTTGAATCAGCTCGGAGACACCAACTAATTTGACCAGCATTATGCTTTTGTACTGCAGCCTGCGTTTGATTTGCCTAATAACCACAACTTTTTTACTTTAAATAATTAGTTAATGTGTGAGGAAAAAATGTTTTTATAGATTGATTTATATTATGTAAGCTATCAAGTAATAGGTAGAGTTGTTGATTATTTTTAATAATTAAATAAAATAAAAATAATGTTTTATAGAGTGCCAACAATTTAATTGACTTATTAGTAACGTAAAAAATAAAATGATTTGAATTTAATATAAAATTTAAATAAAATAAGTTAAAGACTAAAATAAAAAATTATTTTTTTGAATGAGTTTATATTTGAGGTGAAAAAATTAAAATCTCAACTCTTGATTCAAAAATACAACCTTACAACTTAATTTATATTCATTGAATCATAAGTTCTAAATACAAATAAAAAATTACACCGAACCCTTCGGATCAAGTGATAATAGTCATCTCGCGATGCATTCTCCCCTCTCCTGAGTTGAGGTTGGGGTTGGACCCAACTTTTTGTCAACCTGTTTGAAAAATAAAAAAATAAATAATTATTTCTTATCTCGTAACTTTAAATAAAAATTAATAATAGTAATGCATTACAAGGCGGCTTTTTAGTTTCCACTGTTCTCTTGGTCAAAAACACGTCACCTATTTTGAAATTTATAAATTGAAATGACGCTTGTGATGAAACTCTCTTCCTGTGTCATTACCTCTCCAAAATTCAAAATTTATTAATTAGGGGATTAGTTCTTTGATTTTAAGAGAAAAAAAGTGATAGGTTTAAATCATAATGATACTTTGACTGTAAATAGTCTTAAAGTATCTAAGTATTAAATTCAAAGTATATTGATAGTAAATATAAAAAATTATTTAGGCACAATAATAACTCAATGTTGTATTTACAATCTCAGCCTTCCTCGAATGACATTGACACAACATTGTGAGCTACACAAGGTTGAGTCTTCTTACATGTGATCGTGGCACAATGCCGTGCCCAAATCATTTCGCTTTTCAAGACTTTTAAAAGCAATTTTTGCATGAAGCTTTTCTTAATTATTCTATTCAATTTCATTTTACATTAATTCTTAAGGAAGAAAAAGTTCTATGCAATGAATTTTTATAAGGTTAAAATTTTATTATGGTCCTTTTATTTTAACAAAAAATTCTTTTTTAGTTATGTACTTAAAAAACTTCATTTTTGGTCCCTAAAGTTTAAAAAGAGATTTTTTATAGGCAGAGGGATTAAAAAAAACTTTAAAAAAAAAAAAAGTAAAGAGGCCAAAATAAGGTTTTAACATTTTTTTAATGAGAAAGATGTTATTTAGTACTAACTATAAATTTTTGACCAGTTTGAATATTAAAAATACCAATACACTATTAATGACGAGCAATTTTATTACTAAAGCTTAGATATTTGTAATACTCAAACTGCACAAAAAAGATATAGTTGGTTTTTTTTTTTTTTTTTAATGTTGGTTGCATAATAGGAGGTAATCATCTCTTATTTTTTATCTCACCTTACCTGCATGTCATGCAACTCGAACTTAAGATCTCTTATTTTCAGTGAAAGAAGATTACTACTGAATTACTTAAATTGTTGGCAATATATGGTTGGTATTAAAAAAACATGTTTCTTATTTGTAATTAGGTCAAATGTACTCCAAAAATTTCAGCAACCCATTTAATTTTGGCGGGTCATAGGGATCAGATTGATATATTAATCTGCCACAAGTAAATTCCTATAAACTAAACATGCTTAATCCATAAAACCAGGGTGCCAGCCTGCATCCCTCCTCTTGCCCTTCAACTTGCTTTCTTTTATTTAGAAAAAAATTATTAACTATCCAGTAACCAAATTTATAATGGCATAAAAACAAATCTTAGTTGCTTAAGTAAGCTCCCAATTGCCAATAAGGTCCCTAATTTGGTACCAAAGTTTGAGGCCCCCTTCAATCTAGAAGTTTTGGATTCCAGTCCACTCTACTTCTATTTTATACATAGATGTATCATTTAGTGTGTACGCATTCTTGACATTAAGAAAAACAAACTTAGTTAAGTTCGACACCCAATAACATTAAATTTTTTCTGTTTAAATTTCTGCGGTACTAAGCACTAATTTAATGATGAAAAATAATAATAATAATAATAAATTGGAGTTCATCTCTAAAGTCATAATGATAAGGGAAATGTGTAAGTTGTATTCTATCTGTCTATTAACATAAGTATGACTCCAGGTTCATGAAACCAGCCAAATTATTCTGAAAATATTGGCCAAATTCAAGAAAATGGTAAAAGAAGAAGAGGAAGAAGAAACAGATTAATTCATACTTCTAAATGCTGTACTGTGTCCTGAGATTGTATAGACTTCTGTTCCCTGTTAGCAAACCACTGAACTGTTCTCCGAGCAATTGGCAACCAGGCCTGCCGGATTCTGTCCTCCTTTACATCCGTTCCAGACAGGGCAGAGCCAGAGCCAGAGGCAGACTGCCCTGTTCTGTTCATCACACCCATACCTTGGAATCTAGAGAGTGCAGTGATTTCCGACATGGATCTTTTCTCAGAGTGATTCATTACAATCCTCGATGTTTGATTCTTACTCAAAGTTGCTGTGGAGTTGGATGTTGAAGGAAGTTTTGGTGTTGGACTGCTTTTGTTGATTGAATTCACCTTCATCTCGAATGATCTCTTCACCTCAATCTCCTCTTTGATCTTCACGATCTGTTCGTTTTCTATTGCTGGTACCGGAAACTGTCCAGTGCTGTCCAGGGAAGAAGGGAATCTGTCACTGGAGATTTCATTAAGCAGTTCGGAGTTCAAAAACATCAGGTCCGATGAAGTTACGTTGCTCCATCTGTTCTTGAAAACAAAATCCGAAACAATTATTTTGTGGTTGAATTTGTGCAGAGCCTTCCGATCATTTTCATTGCCGGCACCGGAATCTTCCTGAATAAGAAGTTCTGTATCCTTGTTTTGATTTTCCGTTTTCCGGAAACTTCCGATGCCGAACCTGGAGGATCCTTGACGATTTTCCTCTCTCTGAACATAGAGCTCTATGTTGGATTCTTCTCCCCTATCGGATTGACTCCAGAGGAACCGGAAACTGTTGGAGTAGGCGACGAGGGTGGGGTCATCGACGCTGACTCTCTGCCGGCAGAGGGGACAGCTGGAATGCTTCTCCAGCCACCGGTCAATGCAATTGATGTGGAAGGCATGTTTGCACTTCGGAAGCAACCGGAGAATTTCAATGTCTTCGAATTTCGACAGGCATACAGAGCATTCCAGGCCCTGTTTTGAGCCTTTCAGGGATGAAAACCTGAAGAAAGGAAGCGACTCTATAACCGTTTTATCAATTCCAGAATACCGCCGGGATCTGTTAAACACCGCCAGGTTGTTATCACCGTGGATGGAGGAGGATCGGCTTCCCCTGTGACAGCACTTTGCGTAGATGAGAAGTATGAATGTCAAAGAAAACATGATTACCAGAACACCTATCACAACCGCCAAACTCGGCTGGAAATTAGTGGCAGACCCTGGCGTGAAATCATCTGGACTAGATGACTGTGCTCCAACCCCGGAAATCGCCAAGGAAACCGCCAAGGAAACAAGCATACTGACCAGAAACAATGGACTCATGACGAGGAATCGGAATTCTTGAGCTGTTGTTCGAAGGGCATTTCAGCTGGAAAATGTTAAAATGTTTCCGATCAGAAAGCTTTTATATGAAAATTAAAGAAAAAAAAAAGAGACCTGGATGAGGGAGGTTTGAGGATGTCATTCCCCCTAAAAAGAACTAAACAGGTTCTGTCAATTTGCTTGCTTCTTCTTGTAGGGTGAGATTGAGAAAATGATTTTTATAATTTAATGCAGTGGTTTTTTAAATTGTGGGTTGCAGAATTTGGAGAAGTTCTTGTCTTCTTTTGGGTTCATATGGGGTTTGTTTTTTCCATTGGACAGGTGGAAAGAGGCTTTTTGATCGTAGAAATTTGGGTGTCTGACTTGGGAGGGCATTTTCTTGGGACAGATAATAGCATATTGTGTTGAAAAAGATTTTGTATTTCTAAAGTTCTAGCCCTTTGATGCTTTCTTTACAATTTCTTCTTCAGGTAATTTGGTTTTTAAATAATATTTTTAATTAAGTTGATCAGTATGCCTCATTCTGAAATGTTATTCAGGCTGAAACTGAATTAGGAAACTCATATTCAGCTCAAAATATTGTGTTTTTTTACGAAAATCTCTTAACCTTTAATTATTTATCTTATCACTAATTTTTTCTTATCTATTATTACTTTCTTCAGGCTAATACATGTAAATATTTTTTTATCTATTATTACTTTCTTCAGGCTAATACATGTAAATATATAATTGTCTTAAACTCATAGTCTTTAAAAAAAGTAAAACAAGTTAATTATTTTAGAACAAAAGGAATATTTTATTATTATTAGTTAAAGATTTAAACTCCAATTAATTTCACTGTTTGATAATAGTTACATGTAGCCCATATATGAGGGTTGATAATTGTTAACCATTTGGACATGGAGTGGAGAGAAGGGACATGAAAGAATGTTGTGTCCTTCATTTTTTTGATATCATCTTATTTGAATAAATGATTATTTTTTTGATATCATCTTATTTGAATAAATGAAAGGATTAAAAGTAAAAAAATAAGGTAAATGATATCCTTCTCTCTTGCTGACCTTTAATATTTTAATCAAATAGAGAAATTTTCTTCCCTCTCCTTTTCTCCCTTAATCTTTCTTCCCTTCAAACCAAACATACAAATTAATAGAAAAGTTATCAAGTAAATCCTATATAGTAAAAATTGAAAGAAAACTTTTTTCCTTAAAAAAATACAAGAAGAAAATTTTACAAGAATTGTATAAAAGAAAATAAAAGTTAAAAATGTCATTTTTACCTTTTATTTGTTGTAGTATTAATATATAAAAACACTCAAACAACATTGTAAAAGGGAAAGTTTAGAAAATTTTAGAGGGAAAAGTTTCCCCCAACCGAGCATTCCCTTAAAATTAGCAAGGAAGTCAAGGAGTTGGATGCAGTTCAGCCATGTTTGGAATGGAATGTACGCAGGTAGGTGACCTCACTGCATACATATTCCATCCATCAAGCATGGGCAATTGCATTTACATATGGCCGGCTCTAAGTCAGCCAAAAGCTACATAAGTTTCCCACTTCCAAATTTCAACATAATTAGCGATCAAAACACAAAGTCAATGACAGACAACAACGGACTTCGACTCAAAGTATTGAGTGGAAATTTTAAAACCTTGAACTGATAGTCAAGGGATAAAAACTTTGTGCCGCCTCCTACCAAGAAGTGGTTGCAATGAATGGTAAAAAAAAAATGCAACTTGGAACTACAGTACCCGAAAATGAACATTTCACAATCGAATCATACAACCTGTATATGATGATTTAGCACAGATTCATGAATCATAACCTTGTCCTCTGAGATTCTGAGGGGAAGAACAAGAGAAAGTGCTCAATACTTTGATGGGGAAATGGTGATTTGGGAACCAAGCTGTGAGGAACAAACACAAACCCATCATATGCTGCAGTTTTCAATGAGGATGCACTTGGTCATGGAGGAGTGTATCCTCATTGGTCATGGAGTGCAGGGCAAAAGGAGAGCCTCTTCACTTCTGCAGTCAAATGACACAAGCATTACAGGGAAAACAAGCGTGGGAAATGCAAAGTCTTTGCTTTTTTTTTTTTTTTTTTTTTAACATATTTTGCAAGGGTAGGTTTTGAACCCTGTCGAGGAAGAGGAATACACCGTGGCTATGCCACTAGGCCTCAAGGGCCAGGTGTGCAAAGTCTTTGCTCTTTGTTGCACGTTTTATGACATTTTTCATGCAAAAGAAAATCATTATCCTAAGCAAGCATCATGAGTGTAATTGAAAACAGAATAGCCTGATGTTTTTGACAATGCTGTGAATTGTGATGCTTACGGTAGACTTTCAATTAATAAATCGTCATAACGGCTGAAATTATGCTGCGAAAAATGACTCCACGTGCTTTTCGAAACCATTCAAGAGGCATCCTGACGTACAATATCATCTGATATATCTGTCATTTTTCGCAAAAAATACGACTTAATTTAAAAAATTATGTATTAATTATTTTTTTCATCTTAATTTAAAATCTTTGTTTTTTTTTCAAACTCATCTACTAACTTTTAAAATTGTTTCATTTTCATCTAATTTATGTAATTCTATTAACTAAATTGATGGAACTTTCTAATTCTAATTGTGTGGTATCATGAAAGCCATCGTGTGGCCCATTTAAGCTAACACATGGCCTAAAAAATGTGAGAGAAATATTCTCACTTCTTCATTTAAAGTTAAACGCTTAATTTAAAAAATAAGTAGTAATATAAAAATAATTTTTTATATAATTTTTCGTATAATTTTTTATAT